TGAGTAAAGGATGACACCTAGGATCTGAGTCTGGGAGACTGCGAGGACTTTTGATAGTAACAGGAACTTAAGAATAGGGGAGAGTTTGGAGAGAAAATGAGTTCATTTTTAGACATTAAGTTTAAGAAATATATGGAACATCTGGTTCAAGATGTTTAATAAGAAGTTGGAAATGTAACACTGGCAATCAGGAGAGAGGTTAGGGCTAGATAAGTGGATCCAAAAGACTTGTTCATAGAGATGATGAGATCACCAAGTGAAATAGTATTGAGGCAGAAAAGGACCCAAGGGAGAGCTTTAGGGGATACTCATGGTTAGTGGGCATGATGTGGGTGAAGATCCAGCAAAAGAGAGTGGTTGCCAGACAGGAGAACCAAGAGATATCAGTGTCATGAAAACCTACGAGAGAGTATCCAGAAGAGAAGGGTGATTGATAGGATTAATGACTGCAGAGAGATCCAGAAGGATGAAGACTGAGAAAAGACCACTGGATTTGGCAATTAAGAGCTCTCCAGGAACTTTGGAGAGAGCATTTTTGGTTGAATGATGAGGGTAGAAACCAGACTGCAATGAGTTAGAGGAGAATGAAAGAAAAGAAAGTGGAGGCACCTTTGTAGATGGTCTTCTCAATTAGTTTAGCCACAAAAGGTAGGAGAGATATTGCACGATGGTTAGTGGAAATGGATGACTCAAGTGATGGTTTTTTGATGATGGGGGTGACATGAGCATGTCTGTAGGTAGTAAGAAGGCAGCCAGTAGTCAGGAAGCAATTAATATTAGTGAAAAGTAGGGATGGTAGAGGGAGTAATCGGCTGGAGAAGGGATGGCCATACAGAAGGTTTGGCCTTAGCAAGGAGAAAGGCCACCTCACTTCTTCATATGAAACAGGAACAATAGTGACCAAAGGCAACTGGGTGATGTGAAAAGATTAGAAGGAATAAAGAGGAAGATCTCAATTTTTTCAGTGAAATATGAAGCAAAAAGAGGGTGGGGAGGGGGATTATGGGAACTTTGAGGAGGAATAAAAAGGTTTGGAAAAGCTGCTGTGGGGAGTAGGATAGTAAACTAATTGTTGTTAAGTCATTTTTCAGTCAAGTCCAACTCTTCATGATCCCATTTGGGGTTTTCTTGGAAGATACTGGATTGGTTTGCTGTTTCCTTCTCTAGCTCATTTTACAGATGAGGAAATTGAGGCAAACAGAGTTAGTGACTTGCCCAGGGTCACATAGCTAGTGTCTGAGGCCATATTTGAACTCAGGTTCTCCTGACTCCAGGGCTGGCCCTGTATCCACTGCACCACCTAGCTGTCCATAAACTGATTAGGGAGGGGGAAAAGGCTTGCCTGTTCATCCTGAAGGCCCAGTTGAGCATACAGAACACAAAATTGTAGTGCACCCAGTCATCACAGTTTCAGTTTCATCACTTTCTCCAGCTTCCTTCAGCAGTATGTGAATAGGCGTGAAGAAAGAGGATGGTTGAAGTAATCCAAGGCTGCAATTGGGCAGGCAAGATCTTTGATAGGATAAAGGGGCAAGGAACTGTGTAGAATCGATCTGGTTCATCAAGAGATCAAGATGGGAAAGGGAAGAGAATGTAGCTTGGATGATGGCCTGAGAAAGAACTGAGGGGTAGAAGAATTAGAGGCCACAGTGCAAAGAACAGGGTTTGGAGTTGGAAGGGAGAAGTAGAAAGAAAGTAAATTATGATCAGATAAAAGAATTTCACAGTTCATTAACATAGATGTGGAACACTCCTGGGTGTTGGCAAGATCAAAGGTATCTCTGTGTGTAGCTGCAGTGGGGTGGAGGAGTAGGTCATGGGAAATAAGAAAATTGAGGATTGTGAGGTTAGGGTGTTTAAGGGCGTGTCACTATGTATATAGGAAGTCTCCTAGTGTGAGGACAGGAGTTGGGGAGGAGAGCTGGGCACTGGACTTGTTGAGGAAGGAAGGAGAGTGCTCTAGAGGTCTGTAGACAACAGCTACTAGAATCTCGAACGTGATAAAGATGGATTGAATGAACCTCAAAAGAGGAGAGGTTACCAAGAGATGGTGGTAAAGGGAGAACCCGGAAGTGGCAATGACGAGAAAGAAGCAGGTAACTCCCCTACCATTATCAGTATGTTGGGGGGTATGTGAAAGTGAAAGGATAACCAGGAAAGCTGTGTCATCAGGAGGGAGCCAAGTCTCAGTGAACCCAAAAAGATGGAGGGAACAAGGAAGGAAAAAGTTTAAGATGAAATCTAGTTTGTTGCCTAATAGAACAGGCTTTTCAGAGAGCATAGTGGAAGAGGTGAGCAGCTTTAGAACAGGAATTGTGGGGACTGGGTTTAGAGGGATGAGAATAAGAGGTTTAAGGGAGCAATCTGTAAGGGATGGAGAGTGGGGAGGTTGAATAAAAGGAAATGAAGCAATAGAATCATTCTCTCTCTCCACCATTCACTAGTGAGTACAATCTTCTACATCTGGTATATAGGAGAGAAACTTCCTGGGGAAAACTTACAAAGCTGAATGGAAACCATCCCTCAGTGTTCACAGACAGAGTGAGGGAACCAGCAACCATTCTTCTCTTAGTCTGTTCTCATTGGTCAGAGTGGAGATCTGCTAACTGTAAAGGAACATTGGAATCTGCTGAAGTCTCTCAGTTCAGCTTCAGCAGGATTGGGATTCTGTTGGAACCACTGGATTCAGGGACACCCTAGCAATTGCTCTGCATTCACCACCTTCCTTCTTTCCACTCTAACTACACCCCTCAAGCTTGTCAAGAAGACCTGAGCTCATATCAGACCTCAGACACTTACTAGCTGTGTGACTTAATATTTGTTTGCCTCAGTTTTCACAACAATAAATTGAGGATAATATTGGCACCTATCTGCCAAGGTTGTGTGAGGATCACATGAGATAATATTTGTAAATTACTTAGCACAGTGCCTGGGCACATAGTAGGTACTTGATGAAAATTTGTTCCCCTGTTCCCCTCCACTTTCCCTTCTCCATCTCATAATTGCTCAGGAACACCCCAGTATTCCCTGGATGCTGAGACAGGTTCTGTTTTTCCTAGGCTCCATCTCTCTTTTTTCAACTTACCACCTGATGGAATCTTTAGTCAAAAGATAAGACTCTTTGGAAATCCAAGTTCTTGACACTTTCTAAAGTAGATCACAGCACCCCTACTTCTTTGCTGTGGGCCTGAAACTGGGAGGGTGAGCTCTCATTCAGGACACCTGTGTGTGCCTCATTCATCCAGAGAAGTTAATGATTTTGTCCAAGGGTACATACAAATAATAGGTGGAATAAATGGCTTCAGACCATGTTCTGATTCCAAATCCAGTGTTCTTTCCATCATGCTATTTCTTCCAAATTTCAGATTAGTTTTCACTTCTAACTAAAAGAAGTTGATTTAATGCAATAGACAACAATTAGGTTTCTATTCTATACAAGGCCCTATCTTAGTTTCTGAGTATTTGGGTAGGGCAGGGGGAGCAAGAAGAGTCCCATGACTGCCATTATGGAAAGTCCCTTCATTGATGCAGCTCAATAACTGTTCTCCAAATTGGAGAATTAGAGTTACCTGGTGCAGTGAGATTAAAGTGACTTGCTGGTGGCTGTTGCCAGCAATCAAATAGTGCACCAAACGGAAGAGCGCAAAATAAACTTGAGACATGGGCCAGGTGGAGCAGCAGAACTGACTCTGTTTATTCATCTGAGGGTACAGGATATAGAGAGAAAATCTAGCCTAACTTCAAAGAGTCCTCCCCGTGAGATACTCCCCAGAACATCTGCTGAGGGCATGACAACATAAATTTCCTCGTTATCAGGGTTCCTAGATTGGGTTGTAAATTCCAAGGTTTTCCCAGGCACCTTGGCGCCACCTGCATAGAGGAGTGAATGTGTAAATCTAAGGTTCAAAGATTGAGAAGGAATGTCTCAGGAGCCTCTTAACAGGGAGAGATTGGAGAGCCGTACCTCTTAATCATTGAGCCCTTTTGGGTAAAAGCCTGGGCAGAGGTCAAACTCTGCCCTGGATCTTAAACCCATATCAGACTCTTAAGATCGGCCCTCAACAGGTGGCTACACAGATAGTATATATATCAGAGACTAAACTTCAACTCAAGTCTTCCTTAATTCAAAGCTGGTTCTCTATGCACTATGCCGTTATGCCTCTCACGTTAGGTCTGTATAATGATGATGAATGACACAGGTTCAGGGCCTCAGAGATCTTACTGGGGAAAAGGACATGCACAAAAGCAAGTATGATACAGGGGAGAAAGTAACAGAACAAGGGAAATATCTAAACAGAAGTGCTCTAAGGAAATCTGAGGAGGGAGAAAGATCATCCCAGGTTATTCTAGGAATGGCAGATGGTTTTCATGGATGCATTCAGGCAAGAGAGGGCAGAGCAAGATTGAGAAGCAGCCAAAACATAGAGTATATGATGGTAAGTCATATGTAATAGGGTAGAAAGGTAAATTAGGGCCAGATTGTGGAGAGCCTTAAACGTCAGGTGAAGGACTTCATTTTTTTTAATTTTATTAATTTATTTTGATTTCTCAACAATCACTTCCATATGCTTTTGAGTTGAAAATTTTTCTCCCCCTTCCTCCCCCCCACCCTCCCCAAGACAGCGCACAATCTGATACAGGCTTTACATTTACATACCCATTAAACATATTTTCACATTAGTGAAGTTGTAAGTAAAAATTAAAACCAATAGGAGGAACCATCAGAAAGATGAAACAAAACTCAACAGAAGGTAAAAATAAGTGATAGAGATTCTACTTCCATAGTTCTTTCTTTGGATGTGGACAGCATTTTCATCCCGAGGCCTCTGGAGATGTCTTAGATCCTCGTAATGCTGAGAAGAAGGGTTCAGTTTAACAATCTTAGTCATTGTATAACGTGGCTGTTATTGTGTACAAAGTCCTCTTGGTTCTGCTCACTTCCCTCAGCATCAGATCACATAAGTCTTTCCAGGTTTTTCTGAAGTCAGCCTGTTCATCATTTCTTATAGCACAATAGTACTCCATTACATTCATGTACCACAACTTGCTCAGCCATTCCCCAATTGATGGGCATCCGAAGGACTTCATTTTGTTTTAGCACAGATGTAGGTGTTTCGGCCCTTCTTTGCTCCTATTCATGTGTTCTGCTGAAGAGCTGGAGAAAGTCATAAAATCATGCATTACAGATAGGTCATCTTAACTGGGCCCTCACTACAGCAAGACAATTCTTTTATACACCCTCCCCTCCAATCAACTCATAATCCCACTTACCACAATTGTGGTTCCTAACCTGTTCACCCTTCCTTAAACCTCCAATGGCATCCCCTTCCTCATCATCTCAGCTGAGTATCTTGCTTCATACTTCACTGAAAAAATTGAGGCTATTCACCAAGAGTTCTCTCTTCTTTTCTTTTACTCATCTCACATCTCTCCCCCTACTATATCCTCATTCGCCCATCTTTCAGGAAAAGGTGGCCCTTTTCTTTGCCAAGGCCAACCCCTCTATGTGCACAAATGATCTACCCCATTTTCTCCCACAAATTTTCTTTTCTGTCACCCTACCTCATTCTCTGTAATCTCTATATACTGGTACCTTCCCAGATGTCTACAAATACACCTATGTCTCGCCCATCCTTAAAAAAAAAAAAAACTCACTTGTCCCTACCATTACTGACAGCTATTATCCTATATCTCTTCTTCCTTTCATGGCTAAAAAATCCACCTACAATTGCTGCCTCCTTTCCTCTCACCCCTTCTAAACCTTCTACAATTTGACTTCCACCTCATCATTCAACTGAAACTAGTGTCTCCAAAGTCTCCAACAATCTTGTAATTGCCAAATCTAACAGCCTTTTCTCAACCCTGATTCTTCTTAACCTCTCTGCAGCCTTTGACACTATTAATCACCTTTTTCTTTTTGATACTTTCTCCTCTCTAGGCTTCCATGATACTGCTTTGTCCAGATTCTCTCCCCATCTGTCTTACAAGTCCTTCTCAGGAGGTCTTTCTCAGACCTCTTTGCTGGATCTTCATCCAGATCACATCCACTAACACTGGGTGTCCTCCAAGGTCTGTGTGTCTTTGCCCTTTATACTATCTCACCTGGTGAACCCATCACTTTCAATGGATTCAATTATCTCTATGTAGACGGCTCAGATCTATATATCCAACCTTAATTTCTCTCCTAAGCACCAATCTCACATAACTACCTTTTGGACATCTCAAATTGGATGTCCAGTAGACATTTCAAACTCAAAATGTCCAAAACAGAACTCATTATTTTCCCCAAAACCATCCCTTCTCCTGAACATCCCTATTACTGTCAAGAACACCACCATCCTCCTAGTCAGCCAGGTTCACAGCCTCGTTGACATCTTTGACTACTCTCTTGATCTCACTTCCCATAACCAATCTGTTGTACTTTCTCTACTTTCACAAGATCTCTGGTACATATCCCCTTCTCTCCACTCACACTGATGTCACCCTGGTACAAACCTTAATAACTTTAACCACAACAGCTTTCTACCTGGTCTCCCTGCCTCAAGTTTCTCCCCACTCCAATGCACCCTTCACTCAGCTGCCAAAGTGATCTTCCTAAAGTGCAGGACTCGCCATGTCATTCCCTCCTACTCACAAATTCTAGTGGCTCTCTACCCACAGGATAAAATATAAATTCTCCTCTGTCTCTTAAAGCCTTTCACAACCTGGCCCTTAGCTTTGCAGTCTTCTTATATTTTACTTCCTTCTATGTTCTTTATGATCCAGTGACTCTGGGCTTCTTCCTGCTCCTTGCAAAATGACATCCCATCTCTCCACTTCTGTGATTTTTCACTGGCTGTTCCCTGGGCCTGAAATGCTCTCCCCTTTTTGATCTCCATCTCCTTTACTCCTTTTTGTTGTTATTGTTCAGTCGTTTTTCAATGATGTCTGATTCTTTGTGACCCCATTAGGAGTTTTCTTGGTAAAAATACTGGAGTGGTTTGCCATTTCCTTCTCCAGATCATTTTACAGATGAGGAAACTGAGGCAAACAAGGTTAAGTGACTTGCCCAGGGCCATACAGGTAGTAAATGTCTGGGGCTAGATTAAAACTCGGGAAGAGGAGTCATTCTGACTCCAGGCCCAGGCCTCTATCCAATGTGCCACTTAGCTGCCCCCTATATTCCTTGGCTTTCTTCAAAACTGAACTCACCTCTTACAGTCTGCAAGAGTCCTTTCCCAGTCCCATCCACTCACACCCCCTTCACTGCTAGTGCATTCCCTCTGAGATTACCTTCCATCTACTTTGTATATATCTTGTCTATAAATAGTTGTTTCCATGTTGTTTTCCCTATTATAATAAAATCTCCTTGAGGGAAGAGACCACATTTTTGTCTTTCTTTGTATCTCTAGGGCTGAACGTGGTACCTGGCACGTAGTAAATACAAATACTCATTGAATGGATGAAGTCTAAAATCTAAGCCCTGAATGCAGATGGAAGCATACTATTTGCTCTTCTTTTCCTTTGTTGTTTTGTTTTATCGCCTCATTCTCGTGGTTTCTCCCATTAGTTCTAATTGTTCTTTACAGCATGACTAATGGGAAAATATGCTTAATATGAATGTATAAGTAAAGCCTATATCAGATTGTATACCATTGGGGTCGGGGAGGAGGGAAGTAGTGGGAAGGGGAGAAAATTTAAAACAAAATCTTATGGAAGTGAATGTTAAAAACTAAAAATAGATTATCAAGGAAAAAAATTTTAAAAATTAAAAAAAAAAATCTAAGCCCCATACTGTAATCAGAACTGACATTTATGGCCTCCTCCCACACTCTAGAACAGTCCTTCTAGACCATAAGCCCTGGTGGAGAAGTAAAGAAAAGTTCTGTGCTTACTCTTAGCTTTCCTGAACACGAAAGGCCCTTCCCTGCTTGATTTGCAAAAATCTTTTCCCTGAGCTCCAGGCTCCCTACCCTAATTTGTCAGGTGCTTTCTTCATCCTCTTAGATAATAATAATAAATAATAATAATAATAATAATAATAACTAATATAACTAGTCCCCTAGAAGCTTTCTCTCTCCCATTCTTGACCTCTATGTCCTCCTAACAATATTGCAATTCTACCAGCTGTTTGTAAAAGCTAGTTTTGCCTTTATTCATAAATTTGGTTTCTCTGCTCTTTGAACCTAGACTGGCATCTAGGACCTACTCCTCTCTTTAGCAATCTGGGTGCCCCATCAGGATCTCTCTGCCTGAGTAGCAGTTTGGCTTCTGTTGACAAGGTACAAGAGCCAGAGTCCTCTATGGGTGGGGCTCAGCCCAAATTAGTTAAGGAGCCTTGGGGGCTAGGAGTGATCACATTACTTAATCATACCCTTCTAAGACTGACAGTTCTTTTCAGGAGTGGGGTCTTGACAAAAATAGGAGGAAAAAGGATGGCTCACAAATTAATAATTGGTTATTAATATAACATAATATCAATTCCCCCTCATCCCCAACATTATTCAAAATAAGTTAAAGATATCCCCATTTTGGAATGAAGGAAAATGTTTCAGAAAATTTAGAAAAGAGAACTCTAAAATGGGTTTTAAACCAATGTGCTGACCAATAGTCCATATTACCCCTGTGCTAAGACTTAGCTCACCTGAAAAGAAGTCGTCTTTAACAAAAATAGCCCCTGCATAATACCATAATTCAGATTTCAGTGCTTATTGCCATCATATCCATCATTGATCTGACAGGTTAGTGTGAGAAGGGATGGCTAACAGATGCCATATGTCATATGCTACACTCGCCCTCTTTCCGTAGAAGATATTTTGACTGGCAAATGCATAAAATATGGCCATAAAGCATCAGTGTACATTGTATAAGCCTGAGTGGGCACTTGAGTTTGGCTCACCTGCAAGTGATGTGCTTATAAAAACCATGCAGGTATTGGCTTATGTATGCCTAAGGAAGCGTGATAGAGTAAATAAAGAGCCTGCCTAGGACACAAGAAGGTCTAGGCTCAAGTCCCGCTCTGATTCATACTGGCCTTATGACTCTGGTTACTGTGGTTCAGTTGTTTAGCCATAGCTGATTTGTCATGATCCCATATGGGGTTTTTTTGGCAAAGATACTGGAGTGGTTTGCTTTTTCCTTCTCCGGAGGTTAAGTGACTTACTTGCCCAGGGTCACACTACTAGTAAGTGTCTGAGGCCACATTTGAGCTCCAATCTTCTGACTCCAGGCTCAGTGCTGTATCCACTGAGCCACCCAGCTACCTCCTTATGCCTAAATCTATACTTCTGTAATATAATCTGGTTCAATAGATTATTCCATGGGCTACTTAGCATTCAAAGAGCCCTGGATTTGAGTCTCAGAAAACATTTTGCAAATATCCTACTCGTCAGAAGGAGGACTGGGCAAAAGGCTACAGATGCCCCAGTGTAAATCCATTCCCACTTCCAGGAAAACTTAAGACCATTTTCTTCCCCTTCCCCTTTTTTGTGGGGGAGACGGGGAGGGGGAACACTGTGTCTCCCTATCTTTCTCAGGCTGGAAGCACGCAACCACTCATGGTTATGATCCCACAACTGACTGGCATGGGAATTTTGCCCTACTCTGTTTCTGCCATGTTTGGTTTGTCCCTCCTTAAGCAGCCTGGTGCCCAGCTCCCCATTCCTAGCTCTGGTCCTTTTTAGTTATATGACCCTAGACAAGTCATATTTCCTGGGTCTCCGTTTCTTCCTTTATGAAACAAAGATAGCCTTTACATAATCTACTTCACAAAGTTCTTGGGAAGAAAGCACTTTGTAAACACATAGTCCTAAAGAAGTAGTAGCCGTTGTGATCCCAAAGGTTGGTCCTGTCAGGATGCAGGAGTTTTTGGATGTGGAAAGCTATCCTGGCCAGGCCAGATTAGAGACTCAGCTTCACTATACCTCTGGATTGCCCCATGACATAAGAAAAGAGCCCCTGAGAAACTTGGATGTTGCATAAAGGAGGCTTACTCAAAAAAAGAAATTTCTGAAGCCCAAAGCAGCAAAGATCTGCTTGTCCTTCATCACGTGCCCCCACCCAGGGCAAGGTTCCAAGAATGTATCAAGGGAAACTTCAGAGAGGGCATCAGGGCTTTTTGCCTTGAACATATTCTGCTTCATTGCCTGATCTCCTGGGAAAGGGGCCAGCTGGTTC